TGCCCAGAGAAGCTGTGGATGCCCCATTCCTGGAAGCGTTCAAGGCCAGGTTGGATGGGGCTTTGAGCAACCGGGTCTAGTGGAAGGTGTCCCACCATGGCAGGGGGGGTTGGACTAGATGATCTTGAAGGTCCTTTCCAACCCAAATCATTCTGTGATTCTATGAACTAGAACAGTTATATAACTCCACGTAAGGCTGAAATTAGGTTATTGAAGTTTGTCCTAGATGCTAAATTTGTCTTCTGGACTGTTGTCCTGGCACACAGCAGTTCTGCTAGATTTTTTTCCCCCCCCCCCCCCCCCCTTAGAACATAATCGGGGTATATGCAGTGGCCTAGTGAAGTTCTTCAGTGTTACAGCTCCTCAGTCCTCCTGCTTTCTGTGTTGTACCCAATTACTTATCCATGCAAGAAATTTCTCTGTTTTGCTCTCTCTGTTTAAGTTTCTTTCAAGATTTTGGCAGGGACTTTTTGAAAGCCTTTCAGAAAGCTGGGAAGATGGTATGCATGAGAGCATCTCAATGTTTTTGCTTGTTGGTCTCTTCAAAGAAATCTAATGGGTTTGTAAGGTCTGATTTTTTGTTTTCAAAAGCAATATTGACACTTCTGAAGAAGACTCATCCGGTCATTATATTATCTGTTACAGCTTCCACTAATTTATTCAGTATGGATATAAGATTAGCAACCTACTAGCTTCCTCCCTGACCATTAAAAAATGGCATCACATTTGCCAACATCTAGTTCCTGAGGTATGTACGTGAGAGATTATATATCACCATTACCAATTCAGGAACTTCATTCTTGAGTTTCTTGAGGTCCTCTGGATGACATGATATGGTTCTGTTACCTCTTACCGTCCTAAACATACAGTGTCGTGTTTGGCCATATGAAAACATAAATGATGTGCTCTTTCCCGCTCTACCTCTGGTCCAGTTGTGATTTGAATTATCCTTTTACCTACTCACAACCCTCATCTTTTCCTACAGGTTTGATTAGTTTTGGGTCGCTTTACTTTGGATTACATAAAAAAAATGCAGAACAATATAGGGCCAAGAATGATCTGCGCTGCGCCTCTTAGAAGTGTATTGGGTGGGCAAGAGCATCACCTACTTCTGTTTCAGTAAGGTTTAGTGGTTTGGCAGCTAATCAATCTTTAATCCATTTAATATACGTTGTGTTCTTATAATGCTTGGATACTTTAGTTGAAATATTATGTGACATTCAGTCCTTACTTACATAAATCTAAACTTAACATTATCAACACCATTACCTTGTCAACCAAATGTGTAATCTCCTTAGATGGTGTTTGTGAAGTTAGTTGGACCAGATTGTGTTGGTTGTTGTTTGTTACTGCTCTTTGATTTCATACAAAGGCTTCCATGTCTCGATTCTGTGTTTTGACTTAGCTTGTGGGAAACTAATTATTTAGACCCTACACATATCAAAATCATCCTTTAACCCTTTCATAGTAATTGTTTTCTTCACTATTTTGGTATTAAGACTTCTTATAAGTCAGCCTGTATAGTCTGGGGATCTCCTTGGAGATCTCTTTTTAAAATATCCTAACTTTAGTTTCTTTGGATATGTTTATAAATGGATAGTCTAAGCCTAGGCAATAAGCGTGTAGCAGTTGAGTAACATCTTCTGTAGTGACAAATGTGTTTCACAGCCCTTTAGAGATGAATCTCTAGCAATCGAACTTCCTCCCCCTATTCTACCACTCTACTGACTGTATGGAAATCGCACACGTTGTTGCTGAGACACAGGTGTCATTGCTGTAAACAGGATTTGTACCCAGCTGTGCCCCTGATCCCCAAACAGCCTGTACACAGACTCTTCCTTATTTATTCTGCATATGATCCTTTCTGTGGCATGTGTATGAAGTTAGTGATAAAAATCTAAATATTGATTTTTTTAAAAAAAATATTTTTATTATTATTACTGAGAGTGAAAGAATACTGTTAATACTGGATAGTATGCTTTATCTACTGCAACCAGAGAGGATCCAAAACTGTGTTAGGATGTGATCAGTCTTCAAATGTGTGGAAGACGGCTTTGAATCCTGTTTTCAGGAATACATTTAGACAAGCCAGGCAGCAGAAATTTTAGGTATTATTATTTCTGCCTTGTGTAATGGGGTAGAATGACTTTCCAGAGTATTTTTCAAACCTTGTTTTCCATGACTGACTCCTCTGGCTCCTGTAAGGAGTCTAGCAGTAAAAGGTTGTTTAACAGCAGCTCCAGGTAATACCATCTGTGGAAACTCTGACTGTTTAATTTCTTCACAATCTCTTTTGGAAGAGACGCCTCAGTGGTCCCAGGGGTCCCAGTTTTGTCAAGATGTTGGTGTCACAGTGCCATTGGTTAGAACAGCTCTGGAAACTTTCTTAGCAACTCAATTACACAGAGACCAGGCATTGAAGAAATGAGAAGTCACGTTCTCTGTGAATGAAGACCAGGGGTTATGCCCATGGGAGAAGAGCCTGCGCGTTGCTTGGGTACATATGATAGGGAGCAAATGGTCTAGCTTGTGAAGAGCTAGAGAAGGATGGGATGCTACTGGAAGATACAGATGTTGTTGGAGTTTGAGTACTGAATATCAGCATGGCTAGCACAAGCTGAAGTAGGACTGCTCTAATAATATTCTCGTAGGACAGTAAGGAGGGTTCAGGAGGTTATGATTATGAGGACCTTATTTTTTTCCTACTTATATATGATAAGACTTTTGGAGAATGTTACTTGTATAGGAAGCAGGTAACTTCTTACTGTAAAAGTCAGTTTTATCACCCACTATTCTACAAAGGTACCTTGTTTAATTTCAGGGATTAATGAGTCTAGGGATTCATCTAACAGAACTTCCAAAAAATAATTGTACCTTCTGTTTAGATTTTACATCCTAATTTTTATTTTTTTTATTAGTGAAACAGGTTTGAACTTTGAAGGAGTGTTTCAAGCCATTGCTTTCAGAGCCTCATTTGACCCTTACTGAGCCTTTTGGAGATTGCATGCCTTAATTTTGAAATCTTAATTTAAAAGAGAGAGTGAGAAGGACAATAAATAAACAGCTCTTCAGTCCAGGCAGTCCTTGTATGAATACCTAACTGGGAGTGATGTCAAAGTCTATTGTGCTTTTTTCAAGTGTATTTTTAAAAGAACTGGTTGCCTAGGTCAGTGCCTTTTTGAACAGAAGATTAATAAGCATCTGTGGGGGGTGTGTGGGGGAAGTTCAGAGTATGTAAGCGAGAAGTTCTTAATGTGTCATCAATGGCAATAGCCAAATTACAAATGATAGTAAAAAGAGAACAGAGAACTCCAGGCTCACTGGTGCTTGAATAAGGGTTTCTTCTGCTCACAGCACCTTTCTCAAATTGCTAGTCCTCCCAGAAGTACAGCCTGTAAGCATTAGCCTGTCTGAGGACATAACACCTTGCACATTTTATTAGCAAAGTGAAGGCACTGCACGACACAGATGCTCAGTGCGGAATACTGTGCATTGGTGCTCTGTTAAATGCCATCTTTATTTGTGCATGGTATTTTTTGGCCTTTCTAAAACATTCAGGTTTGACTACCCAAGCATGAATTTGCAGTTAAGCTGCCAGCAAACTTTTTGTTTGAAAGTTCTGACCTTAAATGCAAAGCAGTTTCCTTTTGTTTTTGGGGTTTTTTTCCCTTTCTAATAACCTTTAGGAGTATGAAAACCTTTGTCACTTGTTTTAAATATCCTTATGACAGGTCCTTGTAAGCCTGTATGTATTTATAGTAAATATTACACTCTCTTTGTCACCAGGGAGATTGCAGCTATGAGCTGGAGATTCAGCCTCACTTACGTATTGAAGACGTTAATGTTCAAAGGAATAAAAGTCATCTTTCCATGACCAACCCCACATTTGATCAGAAAGCACGCTCATCTAGAAAAGACATGGCACACAGATCAAAAGTAAAACCACTTTTACCTGATACAAATGATAATGGGAGTGAATTCTTTTCCACATTTAAAATAACAAAAACAAAGACTCCCAAAAGAACTTCTGGATTAAATTTGGAAGTGCCTGCATTGCCTGCAGATGTTAATACTTTGGCTTCTTACTCAGCAAGAAGGCTTGCTCTGGTTGAAAATACTGACCAGGGCAGTCAAAAGGATGAGGAACTAGAGGTGACATTTGACTTAAATGAATTTATTGACCTATGTGACAACAGCGAAAGTACTGTAATTCATGAAGGAGCAGCAATAAAGGAATACAAAACTGTAGATAAAGCCTGTAGGTCACTGGGGATGAACCACGCAGATTCGGGTTATAGTAGCTTCACGGTTGAGAAATCACCTGTGTCCTCTGACTTATTTTATCTTCCTGAATCATACGTGGATTCATTTGCACTTGTGAGATCATCTGAGGAGCCTTCTTGGTCAAAACAAATATCTTCCCACGTGAAAAGGCTTTTATCACAATCTCCCCCCTCTTTGAATAAACTTTATGATTTTGAAAACATGCTGAGAAATGAAGAAATAGTATGTCCTTTTCAAAAAGTTGTTTCTGATAGTTATTCAGAGAGACTGCGGGACAAAGTCTTTCCTGCGTCCTCAGAAGTTGATTGTTCACTGCTGCTCTTTGAAAATCCTGAAGTGAAAGTCACCAGTGAATTGTGTGCTTCTGTAAGTACCTGTTTTACAAAAACTGTATCATCTTCTGAGACTGCTGTTACTAAAGCCGAAGAGGAACTTCACTGGAATAACAGCTTTGATAGTCTGTTTGACAATGAAGAATTCACTGAAATTCAAAAGAAAACTCCAACAGTAAATCGCACTCTGACAAATAACCCTTTAAATAAGAATTTTGTTCAAAAAGATAAAGAAGATCTTGAAATTAACAAGAAAAATGTGATTATTGATGAAAAGAAGAGTATACGTTTATTTGAAGATGAGCATATTTGTGACACAAATAATGGAAGTTTTTCTATGAACAATAAGCGCTTAGTCAAGTCAGATTCAGGTGAGAGTGTCGTTAGGCCAGTTGCAGAGCGAGGCTCTGAGGGGTTTCCTTCAGAGGTGTGCTGCGTGAACAAAACCTGCAAGGAGCAGCCAATAAGCGGTAAAACCACAACCACGGAAATGTCAGGTGATATTAGTGTGACCGAGCAGTTTCTGGATAATGATGAACTTTATGACTGTTCTCAAGAACTGTTTTCTGTTAACTTTGATCTAGGATTTTCCATTGAAGAGTGTGAGAACAAAATCTTTGAAGAAGCTATAAATACTAATAATACCAGAAAATTAAATGGTGCCTCAGAGAGTCATGCAGATGTTAAATCCACTGAAGATAAAAAAAAATTACTGAATAGCTCCAGACTTGAAACATCGCCAAAACGGGATTGCAGAAGTCTTGAGAGAAGAGACATTTCCACACCTTTGCCATTGCAGAGTAGGAGCATGAATGATAGAGAAGGGCCTGAGGACACTACCACTGCAATGCCTTTCTTGAAGTCAGGAGACAGAAGAACGGGAAGTGGATCACCTGAAGCTTTGGCTTCTGCACTTTCTACCCCAACAAGTAGAAAGGTTATGAATATTGAAGCTATCAAAAGATTTCCTATTAATGTATTCTCTAGTGCCAGGGAGGAAATTCCAGAGGTGCCTCTTACAGATAAAGTAAATACAAGCCCACATAGGCAGAACTTTGGGAGTTCAGCCATGGGTGCACTTGGTTCCCCTTTAGGAAGAACTGAAAACCTGGAAGACACCAACCTTCGTAGTTCACGTGTGTTTCCTGATGAAGGTAGGGATTTCAGTGGTACAGTTAGTTTACTATCTTCATGTTTAAATAAATAATGTAGAATCCAGTATCTTTTGGATCCTCAATTTGGCTTTATGACTTAGGTGGGAAGGATGAAAGGAAAAGGGAATAATGGTTATAATGCTAGAAGCTGGCTCAATGAAGAGACTTCCCAGAATCTTAACCCTGCATACAAGCTCAGCCATTTGAGGCGGGCATGCACGCGTGCATATTGGAGGAAGTACTCGGAATTAAACCTCTTATATCTCTTCACAAGTGCTAACAATGCAACCATGTGAGACATAATTATGTGAGCTACAGCTGCCTTTAAAGCCCTTTCTTAATCCTCTCGGAATCTGATTCGTAATCATCTGGATCTGTTGCACTTCAATCCCTGAATGCATACTTTCCTATTTTCCTATCATTGTTCCCGACGAATAGAAACTCTACTGATGGATTTCTTTCAGTTTAGTTGCATGACAACTGACTTGTAGTTAAATTTTTCTGATTATAACTTCAGCACAAACCTGGATTGTCTTAAAAATATCGACTGTAGGCTCTGTTCTGTTTTTCATTTCCTCCCTTCTCTCTCCCCTTCTGTCTTTTTCTGGTTTAGGACCAATATAGCATAAAAAAATATTCAGATATTGCCAATATATAAATGACCATCATTCTTCACTCGTAGGTCACTTACAGGTCATATTCACACCCTTTGTCGTGTTTATCTCTGAATAACCTTGAATTACTTTCAAAATAATTCAGGCTTAATAGTACTCGGTCTCATTCATAGGGCACATTGAGTTTTTTCAGAATGGTTTTGTTAATGTCCTTAAACATTGAAACAAAGCATAAGCAGTCCCTTTGGTGGTTAAAGCATCTTTTTCTCCTTCTCTTTGAATTTGTCTGATAGTCACCATATTTTCTGAAGGTGATTGATTGTTGAATGCCACCTTTCTTCCGGAATCATTATGCCTTCAAACTGATATGTTAGTTTGCTGAATTCAGAAATGGTAATCTATTTAATAAACAAACAAACAAAAAAAAAAAAACAACAAAAAAACCCACCCCAAAAACAAAACCACAAAAGGAAGCAAATTGCTGTCTTAGAATTGCAGGGTTAATACTGAACCTGGATCAGATTGTCAAGGGCTTTGTCTGGTCGGGTCTTGAAAACCTCCCCGGGCAGTGTGTGTTGTTGAAATGGTAGTTATTGGTATTTAAATGTTATTTTAGAATATTTGGGAATTTTGTGCTTTTCTTTAAAGAAAGTCAAACCTTTGAGTGATTTAGTCAGAACCAACTCTCCGTCCCACCCTATCCTGCCATACTCCCAAAGAAACAGAGGAAAAAATAAGCCAGAATGCTGTAGCTGCAGTTAATGTCAAGCCTGCTTTGGGGTAGGAAGGATGTTACAACAGGCAGCATACCTACTGCACCGAGTCCAGGGTGTCTCTGTCAGAATTGGAGCTTTGTCATGCAGAATGTGAAGGAGTATCTTGTATTTCATAAAGACAGACCTTTGTAAAAACAAAAAAGGCTGCAATTGTTTGAAAAGGAATTGGAAAGAGGAGGTTTTAGTGAGTTCTGGTTTTGTTCCAGTGCACCCAGAGGGATATGAATTACAAAATGCTTCCAGAAGTGTAACTCTTACTCAACTTTTAAGGGCTGCTTCTCTTGGTTTCATTTTTCACCTCCCTTTTTCTGTATCTGTACTGCCTGGGGTAGTCACTTCCACGCAGAGACTCTCCAGGGAATTAGGATTTATTGTATGTCTCTGCTGGAGATGAGAACAATATTTGCCACATAGATCGATAAGTAATGTCCTTTGTAGGTACTTTTATGAGAGACAGATTTTGGATTGCTCAGTTATGGCAATATTGTATTGTGAACAATGCATTTTCTTGTGAATGTTGTTTACTATTTTTTCTGTAGGAACCAGCAGTGAGAGTGAAGAAGAGATCGTTTTCCAGAGGAAAAATAGGGAAAAAAAGAATGTTTTGAAGTCTCCTGACGTGAGTCTTAGAAAAAGAACAAAAAAAAAAGAGAAGCAAAATGACAAGGAAGTCAAACACCGAAACAAAAATCCTCTTTGCAATTATACTTATTTCTGTTTACATAGGTTATGAATGACAGTGATTTTGAGTCGCCGATTCGTGCCATCAGAAAACGTCGACACCCACTTAACATGGTTAGTAAGTGCTTTGGTGAGACAGAAGAAAAATAATGCAAACTCATTTATGGAGTATACATTTAAACATTTACTCTTTCTCCAGTCAGTAGGCAAATATTCTTACTAAAAATATTTTATGCAATCTGAGCTAAGGTATATTAGAATGTAATTGCTTTCCTTCCTTCAATTCTTTCCCAAAGTCTCCAAAAATGACTTTGTAGTTGTTGTTTGGCAGTGAATTATTGTTATAGGCAGGAGAGCTGAGCCTCTCCCTTTGTGAAAGGCAGTAAAATAACCTTTCTCTTCCACAAAGCTTTGAATCAAAAATAAAAGTTCATGTCACTTTTGACCTGATTTTTCTTCCAAATAAATGTTTTTTCTGTTCCTTTTGTATTTAATAAAATTAAATAGCATTATTACATCATTTTGCCATAGCAAATCAATCACAAAAAATCAGGTATTGCTTAAAAAAAAAGTTTGTTAAAGAATGACTGTGTAGTTAATGTATTGCTTGCTTTAGTCTTATTTATTGAAGTGTTTGTGAAATGTTCCTCTAGTCAGACCTGTCGAGTGATGACAGCATGGATTTTCACAAGAACTCAAGTAGGACCACAAATAGCAGCTCAGCAGGCTATAACAAAAAACAGCTGAGAAGTACGAAACGGCAAAAGGTCAAGAGCAATTTTACATACAAGGTGTGTGACGTTACATGTCTCTCAATATGTTGAAGGTCATATTTGGAGCAGTTTGCGCTGAAGTTGCTATGTAGATAATGGCTGTGCTTTGGTGTGTGTGTGTATGTAAGTGCACATTTGCAGCATTGCAAAGCCTAGTTCAGAAGAATGCTTCTTTGAACGTGAGCAGCATATGTTACCAAACAAAAACAAAAAAGAGACAGAAAGAAACTTTGTGAGATTCTACTTTCTGTTCAAACTGCAAGAATGAACTGAAAATATTTTCTAATTTGTCTATATTTAAATTTAAAAAAACATGAGAATGCCAGAAATGTTGAGCACTGGTTTCACATACTTAAGACAAAAACTTACTGTGTCATTGAGGCACTTGTTTTGGAGCTTGTGTGTATTTTACGGCCTAAAAAATTGAGTTTCTGTCTATTTCATGGCCTTTGTAGGATCTCATGATACAACTGTATTATAGTAGGCAAGCAGTTGGGCAGTTGTTTGTTTCTAAGACATTGTTTAGGAGGGTTGAGGCTCATAGCTATTTCACACAAGTTTGTTGCAAACATTTGAGATGAAAGCTTGAAACACTGGGTAGTGATCTTAACCCTCACATCCATTGCCTGACTTTCAGAGGAATCTGCAGGGCCCTGCGTAATAATGTTCTGAAGCAAAATAACAATTTACATTACAAGTAGAAGACGCTCAAAGATTAGTCAGACTCAAGAAGCTCAGGTGCTTGTCCAGAACTGACACTATTAGGATATTTGATCATATGAATTTACCGCCTACTCTAATGGTTTCAACTTTGAGCATCTTAAGACAGCAATGGTCCCTCGACCTCAAAGCTTAAATCTTAACTTAGTATTTTACACTTTAACCTGTCACTGCATCAGGAATGGATGCAGGGCCAGAATCACATACTCATAGTAAGTTGAAAAGCTCTTAAATACGCATGGATGTAGTTCCACTAAGCAGAAATTACTGTAATCAGGACTCTGGGGCACATTATGTTGGATATTTTTAATGTTTTAAAGATAATCTTCATTACGGAGATTTCCCTATAGTATCAGTATTTTATGTTCTGGAATACAAAGAATTAGGTAGATGAAAAATCCATTTTTCAATTTTATTTAAACATTATTTTTTTTAATGTGAGACCAAAAGGCTCATGGAAAGAGTGTGTGTTACCTGTATACTTAGGAAATTCTACTCTGCCTTCACGTATCATCTTACCCAAACATTCATAGTGATGAACACGTCAGAATTCCAGATCCACAGAAGATGCAAGACATCAAAACCATTCTGATCAGCCCACCACCAGTTACGGTGTTCTGTCAGAAGTACAGGTAATGGACCTGTAAGTGCAGCAGAGATCTGCAATTAGATTAACGAAGATTGTGAGAAGTCCAAGATGACCAAAATAGCCACTGGCACTGAATTCAAAGATTCAATAAATAATTTAAGAACCTGGTAACTTATTGTTTCCCAGGTGTGACCAGACTCTTGGCTGTTAGTTTCTGGTGTCACAGTGCTTTTCACGCTGCAGGGTTTGTCCTCTCCATAGTCCTCCACAAGTAAGAAGGATTAAGACTAATTGGCAATAACATTGAGAGTTCTTTCCTGTAAACAGGTGACGTCCAGTCTGTTTCAGAATAATCAAAACTGTTCTAGAAATGGAACTATTAATAATGCCTGTCATTCAGCCTTACTAACTGGTGTAAGCAAATAATTAAAAGACTTAGGAAAATTTGAAAATCAGAGATGTCGCTTATTGTAGCACAAGATGCCTTAGTCTTCCATGTACTAAACTAAAATTTACAGCTTTGTGCTTTTTATTCAAAGTATTTTGAAGGCAAACAAATCATTCTTTTGGAGTAATTGGCATACATAATGTTTTTTGAGGGTTTTTTCATGTTTTACTTTAGTACTTTATAGCTAAAATTATAAGAGAAAAAGTTAGCTTCATATAAAGTATCTCTGACAAAACATTTTTCTGAATTCATTTGTTTTTTTTCTGTGTATGTTCTTGTGAATGTTTTGTTGTCTGTTTTTGGTGGAACTTAGTACCGAAGTTTGTATTATGTCTCCTGGACTGCACTCATCTTCCCTGAAAGACAAGCATTTTCCCAATAATAAGTTGCATTGCGTGATGAATTCAGGAAACAATTCATCCTAAGTCCTGAACAGGAAAGGGCAAACCAGTGTGAATACTGTATCTGAAGTTTCTAGTGGACTTGGGTTCAGAGTAATCCAGCACTTCAAAATCAAAACGGATTTTTGAAAGCAAATAAAATGAGTAACACTAGATTTATAAGTTACAAAATAACCTAATATTTTTGGGTAGCTTAGCTACAATTTGTTAGTAAACTCTGCCTGTACTGTTAACTAGTCTAGGTGCAAACAGTGCTACGCACTGTGGTTCCTTTTGGCCAGTGCTTTGAAATGGACTCCAGCATCACCCTTCTGTGCTGGTGGGACAGACATTTGTGCGCTGTCATGTATTTCACTGAACTTTGTGTTCTTTACATCACCGATCCCTGTGATGGATTCTCTTTTCAAAGCCAGAAGCCCAGTATCTGTGATCATCTAAGCAGCTGATGTTCTGAAGTCATGAACTGATTTAATCAGAGGTCTCATATGTAACATTAGTTAATTGGGAGCCATCTTCTAACTAAAATTTTGTTTGGATTTTTCTCGTTTTTAGAATGCAGCAAGACAGTTTTTAGATGAAGAAGCTGAGCTGTCCCAGCAAGATGCAGATGGTGTTTCACCTGATGAGAACGACGATGCAGAGAACGAGCTGAACTCTTCACTTGCTCAATTCCTGAATGATGATGTAGAGGTCACACAAGTGTTAAATGGTGAATGAGGAGAGTTGTTTATGGTTTTAAGATAAGGGGTGTTGCTTAGCAAATGGTGTATGATAGGCATGGCCATTCGGTCAGCTAATAGGTCAGCATGTATCAGCTAATAAGCAGTAACCTCCTCAGCTGTGGTAAATCAGGTGCTTTCCATTATCTGTTTGTACCTTCTCTATTTGTATTTGCATGGGTGTCTTGTGTAGGAAGTTCCTCACTGGAGTCTCTACCGTGCAATAGCTTTGGGCAGGCTGGAGTCAGTTCTTCGAGGATTGCGGGGGCAGGAGATTGTGTCTCACTAAGAGTCAACCACCCCCTCGTACACCATTATGACTGAACAGAAACACAATTTTCCACTTCACTTAGAAATTTCTGAATCCTTCAGGTTTTCTGTTACAGAGAGACCAATAACGATATGAATATTAAAGATAAAATTACAGTGTTGACACTGACAGAGCTGAGAAGGTAATGCTGTTTTTTGGCCAAGATGGTTTGCTTACCCCCGTGCTTATGAATCTTGCCTTTCCCTGGAATATTTGCATGATGGAATCATCTTATTACTATTTAAGATTCCCAGATGTTGCTGAGGATTTTCCTTCTCCACTGAAATTGTGAGTTGTTCTCTGTAAGATCCTGTGCAGGCTTCAGTATGCACATCTCTTTCTCATACAGTCTCTGAAATCAGTTGTTGTGTCTGTTTTGGGAGAGACTTGCAACATGGAAAACTGAGTGATCGAGGTTTCCTGTGGTTAACATTGCCCTTCTCCCTGCTCTGGGCATCCAGAGCTCTGCCTGCTGAGAAAGCCTTCTACATGGCAGCTTTCATGACAGCAAGCTGGGTAGACCTAGTCCTTGGCTTTGGGATTTTCAGAGGTGTCTGGAGAATTTCAGATTTTTGTTTTGTGAAATACAGGTTTTTGGGAGACTATAAAGGAATATTTAATGTGGAAAACATGATGTAAAAATAATGAATTAAAAATTATATCCTTAATAACACTATATTCTCTTTTATCTTCTTGTTTTAATTCAGACTCTGAGATGAAAGGCGTTTACCTGAAATCTGTGCGTAGTCCAGCTCTTGGCAATAGATACAAAATGGTTCATCGTGAATTCAACAACATGGCAATTTTCTCACAGGTATGAAACGAAATTACTACTGTCCTTGTGAAATTCTGATTGCATGTGACTATATTTAGGTTCTAATCCTCCTTTGAAGTGTAGTTTGCGGGCTATTGTGGATAAATAATAAGTTCTAACAAAGACTTTTGACTTCATTTTGATTTTTAATGAAAAGTGTGCAGACATGTATGCTTTGATAGAAGCACACACCCCCTGTTCTTCAGCCGGAGAGAGGCTGTCGACCAGTCTGAAGCGAAAGCATCCCAATCCCTAGTCTTTTCACTGAAGAGCGGTGATCGTTGTTGATCGACGTGGGACTGCACGGCGCTTCCAGGGTCGGAAGCTTATCTCCCCCTCTGCGCTGTCTTCCACTGTCACAGAGGATACTGACTGACGTCTTCTGAGGAAGAGTCCTCTCACCCAGCATGTGATGTTTCCAGTCCCTTAACTGACTTCCCAGTTTGGTGAAACAAGCAACCCCCAAATAGAGGTGTAACAGTTTGGGCGTATTCCTGTTACTCAGCTGTATGTCAGATTACCCTGTGCTCTTGTTGCCAGACAAGCAGCAGTGCTGAGAGATCAACTTTTCTCTAGCAATTACAAGGTTAGCTCCTGAAATGTAACATTTATTTTAACAGTGCTTGTCGCTGCTCCTCAGCGCTCTCTGGCAGGGTGCCTCTTGCTGTCCAGTGTCCCCGGTGTTACTGGCATCTGACCCTTTACGTGATCCCCAGATGCTAGTTGTGCCCCTGCCGCGTGGGGTAACTACTGAGCAGGAATGACTCTCCAAAGCAGATCCTTAGCCAAGCTCTTGCCCTATTACATACAGTATCGTTATGCACTAATTCTGTGTACTCATAAAAGTGCCAGTGAAACATTGCTGGATTATTGTAACGGGGCTTCTTTCGAAATGTTGACTTCTTACCCTGCCTGCTCCTGGCTTAGTTTGGTTTCTGTCACACCTGGCTGCGTTCCCCCTCCATGCGAACGCTGCACAGTGCTCAGCTGAGACGTTTCCTACGCGATCTGTCTTCTGGGTTCTGTTTTACTCTGAATTCTTTGAACATCACATGACATAAATCACTTGTACAGTGTTTTTTAGCTAAACAGAATTGGAAAAATGGATGCTGACGATGGTTCCTTATGTCCCCCTCCCCATTTTTTTTTTTTCTGTATCCTGTATTCCTGTTTTTTATATCACCTTCAGCACAAGAAAATGAGATCTGTATTTGATGAAAAGGATAAATCACTTTTTTTTTTTTTTGGTAACACTCAAAAATTCAGGTTGTGCTCAGTGATTTTTCGCAAGCCAATAAGAAGAATGCATGGGACTCGATTTCCAAGCAGCCTTGGCTTATCATGTCAGTTTTGTTGTTGTTGTTTCAGCTGAGGCAGAGTGTTGCTGAAAATGCAAAGCTTGAACTTCCATTTCATTTTACACATTGCAAAGGCATCATAAAGTTCTTCTGCCAGCAAGCCTTGTGTGTGTGCTGCAGAGTTCGTTATGCACGTGGTACAAGGTGTGGAACCTGCCCTTCTTCATGCAAAACCGCAACTTGTCCCGAGTGTGCAAGCGTGGCGGTTCAGAGCCCTTCCCCCTGTGCAGAGACACGCAAAGGAGATAGTCCTGCCTGTAATTCCAACCTGTTTGATAGTAGTATTAGTGAGCGAGTCTCGCTTCTGTTGCGATACTACAATTAATACTTCCATTAAAAGCTTTCTGGTGATGAATCGCGGGCCTGACCAAAATCTGAACGTACACTCGTTCCAGACACAGGCACGAATATGTGGGGCCCCGGTGTTGGGCCCTCCAGGGAAGTAGCACAGGAACTGCGGAGTATATTCAGCAGGGGAGGCTTTGAGAGGTGTGAGAAGCCCCTAGACACCCCACTACTTGCGCATAGGAGGGACTGGATAAGCAAAGTGCATTTATGGAGTGGAGCAAAACCATTACAGTGTTTCAAAACTCACTGGGTTTGGCTTTTTTCCCCCCACAGATCCCTGAGCAAGACCAGACTTATGCAGAGGACAGTTTCTGCGTTGGAGAGGAGGAAGAGGAAACTTGCCAAAAAAGTGAATCTAGTGAGGAGGAATTGTGCGTTAATTTTGATCTCTTAAATAATGAGAGTTTTACTAGTGGAAGAAAACAATACCTCACTCGCCGCAGAAAAAAATTAAACCAGGCTGGGATGGAAGAGAACTACTCCGTCCCAATGCAAAAGAAGAAACCATCCCGAATTATTGTTCTTAGTGATTCCAGCGGGGAAGAAACAAGTGTCAGCAATGAGAAGCCTGTGAAAACAGACTGTTTCTTGGCAGAAAAGGAAAATGCTACGTTACCCAAGTCATTGCCTTCAGTCTCTTCTGCGCAGCACAGAAAAATTGCTAGGGAAATCAGTGTTCATCAGTCTGTGGAGAGTAAGAGTGAGATGCTTCTCGGCTTGAAAGCTTCAGTATCTGAAACGCTGGATTTTCACCCAGACCATCAAGTCAGAAGCACATGCTTTCCACCAGCTGTCACTAGTTCTGTTTCGGGGAAAGAGGATCTCCAGGCTCCCACTGAGGTCGGTGTTAATGCAAAACAAGGACCTTCCCCTCACCTCACGTTTTGCTAAAGAATCCCAGGCGGTGGGAACCTGTCCTATTGCACTGTTGTTTTGAGGGCTGTCGGCAATACAGCAGCAGCGATAGGACGAGAGGAAACGGCCTCAAGTTGCGCCAGGGGAGGTTTAGATTGGATGTGAGGAAAAATTTCTTTACTGAAAGAGTGGTTAAACATTGGGAGAGGCTGCCCAGGGAAGTGGTTGAGTCCCCATCCCTGGAGGTATTTAAAAGACGAGTAGAAGGCGCGTAGGGTCATGGTTTAGTGGGTGGTGGTGTTGGGTTGATGGTTGGACTCGATGATCTTAGAGGTCTTTTCCAACCTTAATGATTCTATGATTCTAAGAGTGAGTGTGCTTCTGGAGATAAAGGAGCAGGTCCGTTCTGCCTGTACTGCTTTACATCGTCTCCCTTGGCTTTGGTAAAGGAAGCTTTTGTACTCGCAGGATAACTTGAGAGTATGTTAGCAGTCAATAAATAAAAATTGGGGATTAGATACTATCTTTGAGTCTGACAATCATGGAGGAATATGGATCTATTTCTAATAGCAGAGAGTGTCCACTAGTTCTCTGGATTTTGTTCACTGTCCTAAATTAAGACCCTTCATAGTCTGAGGTTGGATTCCTGATCTCACACTTTTCTGCCCGACTTCTATTGTTTACAGTATTCAGGTTTTGTTGAACTCGTTAATGAAGGCTGCATGCTTTTGTCATTCAAGCTGCTAAATAATTAGATCAACTAATTTGGGAGATTGTTTATAGGGGATTAAAATGTTAATCTGAAAGTGGTAATGTTTTGCAATATCGAAAAATACCTTTTTTTTTTTAAAAGATTTTATTAATTGGATTAAAAAAAAAACATGGAACAAAGCGTATCTGTTAAGCATCAGTATTTGAAAACAGTGGGTTTTTTTATTGGCATGTTGTTCTTTGGCCTTATGCTTCTGTGATCTCTTAGAAAAACTGTGATTTTCAACATCTACAGGTGGAAAGTTCTTTGAAGACCACCTGTAGGAGCACTTCAGTTCCACCTTGTTCTGCTTCCACAAACCCCTCTTCAGCTACAGCTGTGTTTTCACGTGACCCTCTGGAGAAAACACCTTCGCTCTGTATTCTGGTAGACAGTCGTGAGATCTCCTCTGGAGCACAGGTGATTTCTTCCTTGAAGGCAGCTCACGGAGTAAAGGTGCAGGTTTGCTCACTGAGCAGCAGCGATTACATCGTGAGCAACTGCATGGCAGTGGAAAGGAAACTTCTGTCAGAATTACTGAACCCTGCGAACAGGAGTAAAGTCACCCAGCGGATCCAGCGCCTGCGGAGCATGTTTGAGAGAATATGTGTGATTGTGGAAAAGGACAGGATTAAAACAGGTAGGTGTTCCCAGGCGGGGCCACCATGGGGACGCACTGGTCTCTGCTCAAGGCTTGCACTGGCCACGCTGGCTTTGTGTATAATACAGGACGGGGAAGGGAGATTGAAAACCTGTATTTTAGTCTCTGTAGGAGCATTACATTAACGAGGTCACCAGCTGAACATTAAAACTTGTTTTGCTTTTGAGGGCGATTTAATATAGGCAGAGATACACAACTGGATCCAGAGGGATACATTGCTTACGAATTACTGAGGCAGGGAAAAGCAAGTTAGCTCAAACATTATTAACTGACCATATATATATGTGCAAAAACCCCCAACTTCAAGACAGATTTCAACAAAGAAGGTGAGAATAGTAGAATAAAGGAACAAGCACAATCTTATCTATGCTCGGCACTAAAATAATAGCGGGCTTAAGAAAAATGTTTTTTCTAGCAGTAACCTAACGAGTGGCATCTGTCAAACTGTACAGGAAAATTCTCATGGCTGAGAACCAGTGGGAACGGTAGCCGGCCTGAGCATGCCATCCCACGTGTTAAGTCTACCTCCAGATTGGAGAGACCAAACCACGTAATGGCTGCTGCTTGAACAGGCAAAAGGTGATCGGCTGAATGAAGTCAGTTTGTAGAAAAAGACAAAAAGAGCACTCCTACAAAGAGTTACTTCGGGAAGGCTGTGCTTGAGCTATTGCCTCGTGTCACAAAGCACAGAATAGAGGGGTCTCAAAGACGCCTCCTGACTTGACTAAACATTTGTGGAAAATTCAAGACTATTTCTTTAATTTCTATAGTTTGGACAAGCCATTTGTTTTAATCCTAAGATCCAAATTGTGCAATCAAATGATTTTACTAATGCTGTCTGCTCTCAGTGCCATCAAGAAAATAGTAGAGAGGTCTTGCTTGCACCTGCTTCACAGAAGATGGAACTAGAGCTCACAGCTCCAATTAAATCACAGGTGTTCTGGGATACAAAACTCCACTACTGAAACCAAATTGTTGTGGATGCAGCTTTGTTTTTGTGACATAAATCTAATTTATTGATGGCTCAGATATGGAAGCAATGATAGAATTGGTCACTGAAGATGTAGCGTCTCAGCGGCAGCTGTAGATAAGTGGATTGTGTTTGAGCTGCCTTTTTACCCCGCTGCTGAAGGGTGTCATTCATTTTCATCATTTTTGCCTGGTTTTTCTCATTACGCTGTTTCCAGAGTGATGCTGGTTTCTTGTTTGACAGCGTTCAAGTGCATTCTTACTTCCGTACCTCTTCTGATTTGGTCTGTCCTGCTGTTCATCACTTGTCATGTGTTTCTCCCAATCCTCTCTCCTAATGACATTTAATTTGCAATTTCAGTGTTAATTCCCAAACTCTACCTCTCAAATAACCAAATAAATCCTGCTCCTATGACCCCTCCTGCCTCCCTTCCTTGAGATGTTTTCCCTCATCTTGTTTTTGGTTGCGAGTTCTCAAAGCAGGGGGTCTTTGAGCCATTTTGCTTTGCGAGTGATTCATATTGGATTTTTCACAGTAATTTAGCACTTAGTTTTCTGTATTTTAACTCCGCAGGAGAAACGTCACGATTTTTCCAGAGGACACAGTACTACGACGGTGTGCTCTCAGCCTTGGTCCAGGCTGGGGTCCGAATTCTTTTTAGCTCTTGCCAAGAGGAAACTGCCGGTTTACTGAAAGACCTGGCTTTGGTGGAGCAAATCAAAAATGCCGCCATTCGCGTGCCAACAGAGGTGGAGGGTCACAAACGGGAAATGCTCAACTTCTACTTGAGTATTCCTAATCTCAGCTACCTGGCTGCTCTCAATATGTGCCATTGCTTTGGCTCCGTGAAGAAGATGGCCAACAGGTAACAGCAAAGATGTACGGCAAGTGCTTTGAGGCTTGACTTTCCTTTTGCTCCTCTGTCTCACCCGGGACCTCCTGCTGGGGTAGTTGCTCAGAGATCCTTTCTGAGCCTTTCTGTTACTGCCAGAGCTCCCCAGGAGCTTTCCTGTCTCCACCTCAGTCCTGTTCTTTATGCATTTCTCAGTCTCTTCCAGCTGAGCAGACCAGGGCAATGACATGGGCTCTGCTTCCGCCATCCCTCCTACTGCCCTACCCTTTCCTTTCTCCTTTCATGGCATTCTGTTTTCTCTGCAGCTCTCTTAGGCTTGCTCAGCCTGGTGTGCTCACAGCCCTCAGAAACCTGGAGAGGTGACCACCAGCAGCTCGCGGCGTCCCTGCCGTGCTCTTCACACTGGACACTTCTCGCCCACTGGCAGTTTCCCCTTCGTCTCTTACAGCTCCCCGCTGGACATCGCCACCGGCGCCCAGGTCAGCCCCCAGAAGGCAGAGGAGATCTACCGCTACCTCCACTATGGTTTTGATGTGCAGATGCTGCCCGAGAACCTCTGCACCAAGGGGAGAAGCAATGCAGCCACCAAGAGCTGAGGGGAGTGAAACTTGGTTTCTTTTAACTGCACTTTACTGAGTTTTGATTCACTGTAAAATATGTAAATAAATCCTTGCAGAAACATCAGGGGCTTTTGGCATGCTCCATCCACTGCCCTTTGTCACCTAAGGCAAGGCTGTGTCTCTGCCAGGCGCTCACCTCTCTGCCTCCAACAGGGTCACACATGTGCCTGCTGTGTCGCGCAGAGTGGTGCCCCCACTGCTGCTGCCTGTTGGCACAGGGCCAATGTGTAGAGTAAGGCAAGTGGCTCTGAGGGCAGGGCCAGTTTTTGTTTGTTGGGTATGATCATTCCAAAACTTCTTTAAAAATGAGAGCAATGGCTGAAGTGTTTTGGCAAAGTAAAGCTTTCCGGCTTAGGCAGAAAGGTGGTGACAGAGGGGAAGGAGCCCACCAGCAGCTACTTGCCATCTACTGCAAGATTGGTACCCATGTTTCCTGGGAAAAAAGTGACTTTCCAGATGTTCCTTATCCTTCTTGCCCAGACGACTGAAAGGTTTGCTAGGGTTGAAGTAGAGATGTGTGGGCCCAGGGCAGCAAGCACATGCCCTTGTTCTTAGGTGGCCTCACATCTCCTTATCCCCTCTCCCAGCCCCACAGCTGTGACCAGTGCTTCCCCATTCCCTCCTGCTCTGGCTGCAGGTGGAGGCGACTCCCCAGGTGAAGCCTTCCACAGCACAGAGCCTGGCTGCAGCTTGTTGCTGCCACACTGTGGCTACCTGGCAAAAGAACTTTTCATTTTTATTCCTTCCTAGCCCTTTCTGGAACGTGTTCATGAAGAGGCCCGTATGGAAGTGAGGGAAACTAGGAGATAAATAACCTCGCTGACAGCTTGTGAATCGTGCTTCTCCCCCCCAAAGAGTCCGATTCATACATGAGTAAAATAAGCTTGTCCCGTTTTATTACATTAAGGAAATGTAAAAATTCAAACTCTCAGTAGAGGAAATTAAAAAGCAATTCCAATTAGTTACAGACTGTACCATTATAAATTTATTGTACAGCCATATTTCAAAAAGATATTTTATCTTAAAACGAATCAAAACTTCCCAGTAATTGGTATCCGAGTACATTCCTCCCTCCCCCAGGAGCAACAGGGCAATGGGAAGGAGGGGCCTGGGCAAGAAAGTGCCACTGTACAGATGGAAAATGACAAACATTGCTGGGGAGGCAGCAAGATGAGGCTGGCGTTGGAACACGTAACAACACTGCAGGTCAAGGCTTCCGAACTGAACTCTTAACATCACAGGAACACCACGTCAGAGGGGTGGCCAAACCCCTTTGCTTCATAGGAGAGGCGCATAAGTGTTGAACTAATAAAATCCACAAAGTTCATTCATTAAACAGAAAAATAAGAGTCATCCTGTTCTTCATCAGATGAATCTGCTGCCTCGACCACAAAGAGCTTCCCTACAACAGAGGTCTGTTTCACTTCTGCAATAAGAAAAACAGGGGTGTGAGTAGTGTGTGGGCCTGAGCTTAAGCAGCAGTTACCGAAGGTCCAAAAAGCAAAGACACTTATGAGAAACAGACTGCAGAAAAATTATTAAACACAAGGACTGTGGACACCCAAGAAGCCAGTGGCGATGTGAACGTAAGTGAAGGAGGAGAAACAAAGAGTACTTACTTTTATCAAAACTGAACTTGGTTCTGTGCGAAGCTGGCGTACCAAGCACACCTCCGGCCTGATGGAAAGGATAAAAAGGCTCTGCTCAAACAGCTGCTACAGCACCAGCCCAGGGACGTCAGAACAGCGGGGGGGGACACGGGGGGACAGGGCTGGCAGACTCAGTATTATGCTGGGATTAAGTTGCCCTATCACTATGCTACATTTTCACTAAAAATTTAAAAACTCTTCAACTACCACAACTGCTTTCACTAAACTAGAGGCACAAGCCATTTTTCTGCTTCTGGGATCTCAGCTTTTTGTGGAAAAGCCAGAAGAATTACAAAACCTAGGATACTGCAGGAATAAACGCATAAATTCAGGGACTCTCTGATACAAGGTGAGAATTACTGTTTCCTTTCCCACCGTACAGAAGAATGTAACAGGAACTTAATGTACCTAAAGATCACAGAATTCAAAAGCAGTTACAAATCCTGAAAAAAAAAGCAATGTATTTAATCCTGACAATAAATAGCTCTTTTCTAACAAGCAGAACTTTTCTCCAAGAGAAGTGGATACAAAAACCCAGAAGTTTGGGAGGAAGTAAGGGAGGGTTCCTGTTCTCCGTCTTGAATGTACACAACTAGTCTGTGATCCCGGGATTCTTTTGCCCGCTGCTTAGCAAAGCTTTGCATCGTTAGGGTGGAACTAGGCAACGTCCAAGGAAACCAGCATTACCGACGACTTCTTGACGTTGTCCCAGGTGCCTCTGCTGCCCTGCGTGTTCTTCTGCATCCTGAACACGTGCCTGTCGTAATCGTTCCTGTAGATGTAATCAAGCACGTTAGCATCACCGGCGTGCCACCTACAGAATCCGCTGGATACAGTTAAAGGCATTATACATACAGCTCTAATTCAGAAAGAAAATTAGCATGGTCATTAAAGACAGTTGTTGGTCAATTAAATGTAACAGCAGCTCCGGGAGTATAACAACACAGAAGTGTTTAATTAGATCACATGCTAGAACTCCTAATGCAAGTATCAGACAAAGCTTCATCATCTTCCCAGATGATGTTCACTTCTTGTCTGTTAGATAAAATGCCAGTTACTCTGCAAGTTTCAAGATGATTCCAGTTTCAGTAAAGCCTGAAGCACTTGGCTTAACAGGTTTAAGACTCAAAATGAGCAGAGAAACCTCTGCCAAGGCGGATGCCCAAATAACTCCCTCCTCCAAGAGTAAAAGGATACGCAATTGGCATTGTGTTCGTTGCCCACACTAGTTGAGCAGCTCAAACTCACGCACTGTCAAAGGAAAGAGCTTTCTCTAAACAAATCTCTCAAGGACTGCAGGATTTACTACGCATGCTCTAAGTCTGGAAGAGAACTGGCGTCCCAGCTCCAAGAGTGATCTTTCTCAGAAGACAAAAAACAATCTTGGGGAAAATGAGAAAGGGAGAGGTTAGCAGAGGGACAGCAGTACGAGTTCCTACCTGTTGATGGGCACCAGCATACCAGGGCTGATATGCTCACACTGAGGGGTTTTCACCATAGGGAAGACAGCAGAGGAAGGTGTGATCGGGTTGTCTGTAAGTGCAAAGTCATCGTCGTCGTCATCGTGGCTTCCCTGGAACGCTGGCAACTACAAAGCCACATCAGAGCAATCAGTGACCTGCCCTTTTTAACAAAAGTCTGCTGAAAAGGCTTCTCACGGGTGTGTCTCAGAGTGGCAACAGGACACAGCCTCTTCAGGACTCTGTGAACCTTAGTTGTGTCCCTCATCCCCAAAGGGAGGAGTCCCAGACTTCCTACTCTCTCCTCAATAGGCAGTCGCTCCATTCCCTTGCTCACTTTGGTTGTGTTTTTGACTCCGCTATGTCTCTCGAGACGCAGAAGCCAGCAATGCGCACGGTACACAGAACGAAGGTACGCAAGGACTCGACGTAGCAGCCAAACGATGCCTTGATCTCGCTCTTAATACTCCTCCTGTTGATGCCCAACATTTTGCTGGCCTTTTTTTGGCTGCTACTACACATTCAAAAAATAATTTCTGATTAAAATCACAGGCTCAAAGCTGACCATTACTACTCAGGAGGAGGATTTCAGGATTACTCAGTGAACTTCTGGTCCTTCCATTTTGAAGAGAGAGGAGAACTGGAAAGGTTCAGAGAAGAGCAGCACAGATGATCAAAAGCACAGCAGGTCCTGGGGGGCGGGGGGAAGAGCTATAACTGGCATCAGGGGTGAACGGGGACCAGGACAGTTGGTCGCTGTCTCTTCCCCATGAGAAGAGGAGGACAAAGTCAGCAGATGCAAGTTCAGGACAAATAAAAGATTATGCCTCTTCACACAGCAAATAGCCGTTCAGAGAAGAGCAGCACAGATGATCAAAAGCACAGCAGGTCCTGGGGGGCGGGGGGAAGAGCTATAACTGGCATCAGGGGTGAACGGGGACCAGGACAGTTGGTCGCTGTCTCTTCCCCATGAGAAGAGGAGGACAAAGTCAGCAGATGCAAGTTCAGGACAAATAAAAGATTATGCCTCTTCACACAGCAAATAACTCGGCTCTGGAACTCAGCACAAGAAATTGCAGCTGTGAAGAGTCTGCATGGGTGCAGGGAGGGGCTGGACTAGTTCATGGGAGGGGAAGCTGCTCATGACTCCTAAATCCACAGAATTTCTCTCCGGAGGTACACTTCTCACCAGACACTACAGAAGGAGGCGAGTTTCTTTTGCACAGCTCAAGCTAGGCAATATGAATTTGAAAAAAAAAAGGAAAAAAAAAAAAAGGAAAAAAAAGGAGACCCCTTTTGAATCACTGGCTGAAACTGCATTCTACCAAAAAAGGAGTCTCCTGGAGAGCCCCCCTGCAAAAACAGGGTGTCTTGGACATGGGTGCACCGATTCCTTCATAGCTGATCCGCTCATACTAGTCATGGGGATTTCTCCATAGCACACCGCAGTTTACAGAAAGCAATGAAGTTACCACTGCTTAAATTTTGACTTTCCAATGAGCCACGGCCTTACTCTGCTCCTGGATGCATGCCAGAACAAGAAACGCACTGTTGCTACAAAGAAAACCCACAAAAGAACAAATGTATCAAGAGACACACGGGTGCCGACCGGAGTCCCTGCTGGAACTGAGGCGCTAGTTTTAATAGGCAGAGCTAGTTTGGCCAGGTAACGGCACAAAGATGCATCACAAAATATACTTCAAAATTTCTCTACAGGGGAAAAACAAAAAAGAAAAAAGAATTATTCTCTTGATAAATGAGTGGCTTTCTCTTTAAAAGTGAAAACAGAGTCTTGACTAACATCTAGAGTGCATAACCGCGCTTCACCACAGCTAAGTGGAGGTTTATCACAGAGAGAGGGTAACGCTCCCCAGCTCTGGTGCTGCATCTGCTGGGTGTGTTTGGGGCTGCACGTGGAGCGGGAGGGGAGGGCACTCCTCCTGCTTTGGCTACTGAAAGTGAGCCGAGCCAGGGGAACGGGGCAGCTCTCCAGGTCAAACAGGCAACAAATAGGAGAGTGAGTAAACCGCAGGCAAGGGCCAGGGCGAGAGGATAACAGAACTCCCAAAGAGAAACCCACCCAACAGGCAGCATCGAGAGGTAAGTGGTTGTAGGTGTGAGATGTGCCAAGGGGAGAGAAAGAAAAAAATCCTGTTAAGTATCAGCGTGACTTTAGAAAGTACCCGGTTCCACAGCACAAGGATCCAATGGTCGTCCCCAGGACAGCGGTATCACCGCACAGCCAATGCTTCGCAGCCCCAGAAGTTCCTCCCACAGAGGCAGAAAGGACACCCCTACCACATCCATTCAGCAGTAATCCTCATCTGCAGAAGCCACGTCCCACACGTTCTCACTGCCGGCAATCGAAGTGTTGCGGTAACAAATCCAGGAGATGGGCCTCTTCCCCAAAATCCACGAGGTTTTGTGGATGGAACTGAACCAGCAGACTTGTAACACACCCTTGAAATACCAACCAGAAAAGCATACATGTGTATACACTGTTTTCCCAGACTTACCTTTACTCTTCTGTTCTGAAAGGGTGTCGCAGTGAAAACATCGTCATGGTTGTCCTTTGGCAAATGGTCCAGGAAATCTCTCATCTGCTGCTTTCTTTTGAAGGTTCCCACTTTGGCAGTTATCATAACCGGCTCTTTCTTATCTACAGGAATCAAAATATTAATTGTTCTAAGACATTAGTTACGTAGCGTGATTTTAAAATTCGCTAACTACATCAGTGCTAGTGATACAGTTCAGTCTCTCTTCTGTGGAAATGCCTTATAGCTTCTTCGTGATCCTTTGAGTTCTACACAATTTATGCTTTCAAAAAGAACTTCTCTACTGCATCTTGATCAGAAGTTTACTCCACAGCCTTACGCGGCCATTGCAAGTGTCGTACATACATCAGCTATTTTATCGCTATTTTAACAGAATTATCCATGCATCTGCATTTCAGAGACAGAAGACACTAAGATATATCACCCATGTCAAGAGGCATGAAGTGCTCAAACGAAGGCTCCGCTGCACAGAGACCAGTTTAGCATCCTCGACACGAGGTTTGTGGAATGCTCATCTGAGACTTTAGCGTATGCAGTTGTATCCTTTGCAAACCTTAATCCAGTTACCACACCTACAGGATGAGCCATTAAACCTACTTGAAGGAAAGAAAGGACTTTGTCACTTCCGCTGGTGTGTGTATTCCTATCCTCTGTTTTCCGTTACAAGTGACTTCCTGGGCAAATTTAGAACATCATCCTCCCGGTACCCTCATCTTCAGACAAAAACTAAAATAGCTGCTTACGCAGACAAGTCAAGTAAAGAAGAAAATTAATCCACAGTTGACAGACTTTCAGAACAACAAAGCATTTTTGTACCTACGCTAAGATCCATTGTTAACAGGATGCACTCACCTCCTGAGAGAAAGCCAGTGAACAGCTCCCAACTGCCAGGAAAGATCCCGCCTAAGTATCACGCAGGACTGAATTCAGTCCTTTGCTTTGCTACCGTCATTTTAGAGCGTCTTAGCATTCAAAGGCCCAGGTGAGTCCGAGAGGTCCCAAACATGCTCTCCTCAAAGCAAAAAACCTTAAAACCACTGTGGTAAACTGACCCTTCACGAACGCTCACTAACCAAAACAACTGTCTCTTCTTAATGGAAGAGCGTGCAGTCTGGTCTGACGATGTCAAATGCCAGGGTGAAACAGGAAAAAATTCCCTGTAGGGTATCAGCAGTGGCGAAATGAACAGCAACGTTAGAAAAAAACTTTCATAATCACAGAAGTGCAGGGAATTTTGATACCATGATAACAGTCAAAATAAGATGGTTTCGACCTATGCTCCAAAGTGCTCGAGAACAATACCACCACAATCAAAGCTGAATAAAATTCATTACAAAACTCACGCCCAGCAGATTCTCACACTAATTCTGTAACTGCAACAAACATCTCAAAGAAACATCCCAGAAAAAAAAAAACACAGTGCATTGTCCTGCACTTGAACCCTCAAGCTGCTGCTTTTCCAAGTCTGCACAAAATCATATTTCACTGACTTTAAGGGCAGGGAAGCCTACTGAGGTCACCTGGTCTGTTCTACGTTACGGAGGCTGCAGAACCGGAGTCGAGCGTTCCCGCGTGAAGCCCAGTAACTGTGAGTAACCCGGATCACCTCATTTGGACAGAAGAAAGGATTTTAATGCTTTCAGTAAATGGAGACTGATGCACAGCTTGTTAAAGAAACATCACCCGAGTCATCTTTGCCCACAGTTGTGTCACGCTTAAAGCTTCAGCTTCCAATGGCTGCGTGATGGCATGTCTTTGTCAGCTAGAAGAGTTGCTGTCAAACAGCTTTCCTTACCTAAGCACTTACTAAGTCATCGTAACTTCTCTGGGTTAAATAACCGGATTGAGCATCTTGCGCCTTTCCCTTCAGGGCGTACTTGCTATCCGTAAGCGCGAATTACTGACTTCGGAACCAGACGGCAACAGCAACAGGCACATCAGTGCCAGACACCAGAGAACGTAACTTCGCTGTTCTTACTCCACGTTGCCCTTAGTGCATACAAGCGCCCCATTATCCTTTTTGGATCGGTAGCTCTACAAGTAGCTCATCATCTACCAGGCCTCCAAGAGCCTCTTAAGATATAAATAGCTATGTTCCCTTAGGTGGCAAAGCCAGTTTAAGTCTTCCCATCGTGCCAAAACTGGAAAACTCTAAAAATATCGTTTCTCTTCTTGTCACTTCAGTCATTTACGACATCCTCCAAGCTCTGCAACAAACCTTTATACTATAGAAGATAACCTTCTTCACTATCGGACTCCGATGTGTGTTTATGTCTGTATCTCCCATTACATAACAAATACTGAATTTAAAATTATTTAAAGACAACGACATACCCAGAACCAAGATGTCAGTACCTTTCTGTTCTGGTTTTCCTGAAGCGGTGGACTTCTTGGCATGCGTTTTGGAACCTTTTGCCTGTTGTTCTTCTACATACTTCTGATGGCATTCTTCAGCAGAGCGAGACCCCACCGCCATGGCTACCTCCACCCAGAAGCCATTCTTGTGCTTTGGAAATGAAGCAATGGCCCTGCCAAGAGAACAAAGCCACAACCCTCGTCATGCCGAAGAACCTGCGCAAGGCTGCCAAGTACAATACCCAGAGACCAGCTGCCCTTCCTAGGACGGTCGCGGTGCGTTGTGTGTAGAGAATCTTGTCTCTGGTGTCTTGTCCAGATGCTTTAAAGCATGCAGATTTATTTGAACAATTTAAGCTAACAGCTCCGCTACAAGCTAAGTTTCTTCCTTATTTGCAGCAGGTCCCCCCCACCCCCCGAGACACGAGCGCATGCCTTTTCAGGTTTCTAATCTGAAAGAAACAAAACCAAACATGGTCAGTTTATTACTCAACGTATGTATTAAATACTGCCCAATAGCTTGTTTAAGTAACTGGACAATGCATTAATTAGACATTCTTGCAATTAATCTCCCCTTGACAAAACTTACATACATAAGCACACCACATTTAGCATTTTATTTCATTAGGGGAGAGCATATGCTACCTCTGACTTACTGTCTAAATTATAAATATCAATACTTTTACCATACTATTTACCTGCTCATGTTTTTCAATTTTACTCATAGGAATGTTTATCACCTCTAATAAGATTAAGTATGTGTTTTTGAAAAACAGGCAGCATAGATTCACAAAATTTTGCCTAATACCTGTGTTCCTCTCACTTTACACTGATGACAGTGGTAGGGGCTGCTGTAGGCTCACGCATCTACAGTTATTTTAGAAAATACTCAGTTGCCTCCTTTACGTCACTATTGTTTATTTCGTTAACAAAATTTATTTTGCAAGAGGGAATTAAAACACACAGGAAACCTTTAGAATAATGTGAAAGAGACCGAATCTGAAAAAATCCAAATTCAGACGATCCAAACCCTCCAGTCTATTACACCTCCCGATGTCTGAGGGAATCTTTGCCCTGTGAAGACAGGGCAACCACTTGCCTGTAGAGCTTCTGTAATTCCTTTTCAGACCAACCGTCAGTTGCTCTCGGAAAAAGTTCTTGAGATTTCTGCATCTTTTCCCTCTCAGGTTCTCTTGATTTTGCTGCTGAAGACTTGGCAGTGTTAGAAACTTTACAATTTGTTTTTTTATCAGATACTTTTGAATTCTTTTCTTTTACTTGAAATTCCTCCTCATTGGTTTCGGGCTCAGTGTCAGATTCAAGCAAATACCTTGGAGGGTTGATTCTGCTTCTTGTCCTCGCTGCCTTGTCAGGCAGATGGGAAGTACTAGACTCGCTAGAAGGTGTTTTTCCTTCAAGTAAATCAGAACCATCAATGGCTTCGGGCACACTTTGCCTCAGCTGCACGCTGTGGGAGACAGTAGAGTGTTTTACTGTCCTTTGTTCACACAACACCTTGTTTGCCTCATCCTGTGAACTTCTACAGTTAGAGGAAGATTTAGAGTTTCGAGTCTCTTTTTTAAATAAAAGTTTATTTTTCCTTTTGATAGACAGTGGGATATCTTCACTGGATTCCTCTTCCTTATCTGTGCTTGGCGAGTCTTCTGTTAAATGCTTGTCTTGAAGTTGTTTCGCTGACCTTAAAGAGTACTTGTAAGCCTGCGAATACGTAGTCAATTCTCCATATTCTGTTCCTCTCTTTTCCTTTGTCATTCCTGGGATTCTGCTATTACAGTTACGTTTGTTTAGTACATCATTATTTAAGGGAGTCAGCTTAACAGAAAGCTGTGTTTTAATGTTTGTACTATCGATTGCACGATCACTGTCATCATCATCTGAAACGAAGCGCCTGGCCTCCTTGCTTCCAGCGGACTTGGTTTCTCTTTTGGAACTGACTCCTTTTTCATTGTTTTTCCCTGAAAGAGAGGATGTCAGTATAATATCACACATTGTAGCGTAAAACGTTACTGTGTTCTCAGACAAGCAAAGACTAGCCTGCTGCGGGTTGCAATGCATCCCACACTCGTTAAGATCTGTGAACTCCTTCCTTTTATAGAGACCGTAGTCTGTAGGAAGAGACAAGCAGCACACTCCAGCCTGCAGCTCCCCACGTTCTGCAGAAGCCTCTCCCCACATTAACAGAACACTAGAGTTCTTCAGGACAAGGAGATATTCTGTTGAATGGTCACGTTGGGATACAAAAATAAACACTGTCCATGGCAGTCAAGCAGCAGAGAAAATCCATTTACACATGACTCTTACAAAGAAGACATAGCACGAAACCAGTTGTAAGCACTGAATTCATTCTGAGCGAGCGTCCCTCTGCTCAGAGGGAGTACAGCCAGCGGTGGGGAGGGTTCCTCATGTACAGGAGACGTCCTGTGCCTGCCCAGTTCGCTCCCGTGACAGGCCGCCTCCAGACGACTAAAAGAATTAGGATTATCAAGGCTACAAAAGGGAACGTGAAAGTATTGAGCAGACAGAGAAGAAAACAGTAAACAGAATGTTGCTAAACTGCTATGACAGAGGTTGAGCAAACACTAATATCCCAAAAGCTTTACTTGTGCTACAAATAGCTTTTCTGCAGGAAACGTTACAGTTGCTTTAAAAGAGAAACTTCTGCTTTATATTTACATTGTTTTCAGGGTTCTATTATTTACAAACGTAGCTTCTGTTCGGAGCTGCAGAACCAGAAAACTAGGCACTAATGCTACTCTGACAGTTCTTCATAGAAGAAGCAATCGACCATCAAAAGATTTAAATAATTTCTTTGCATTAACAGGACATCACCATACTGCTCCAGCACCCAACTCATGATCCCACTGATTCTAGTTAATAACTTTAAAAAAAGGAAGAAAAAAAATTTTACCTTTACTTTGGCTTTTTGGTGTTTCTTCTGTTGTCTTTATTACTTCCCTTCTTTTATTCTTCTTAGAGATGGAACTGGTCTTTCTTTGGGATTTTTCACTACTAAACATCTTCAAAATAAAACAATTTAATCTAAACTTCTGCAAGAGATTACATACCAAGCCTACTGACGCCAACTCTGAAAAAGCCAAATGTTTACAGGATGGGTAGATTTAAAAGTCACCTACATTGACCAGTGCCTACTAAATACTACTTGATGAACACCTGTGTTTATGTAAATGCATGCAACCAAAGCAACTTCGCCAGACTCCCTTTAAACTTAAATATTCTAAAACACAAGCTAAAATCTTTAGACCTAGAACTGCTTGAGTTGGTGGTAAATTGGACATACATCTTCGCTGCCACAGCTGATGACAAGTGTTAGTACGACCCCCATTCCATAAGGCCAACCAACCTTAGAGAGATTAAAAAAAAAGCTCACAACTACCACAGAGGACGCCGTTTCCTTCACTCATTATCAGAATATTATCAGAGTTGCTTGAAGCATCATAATAAATAAGAACAGCACACCTCAGTCAAAACTGGGGCGACCTGGACAGATCAGGACACAAGAAAGGAGGAAATATCTGGTCCTAATGAATGTGAAACCCTGCACGGGAAGGGGAGAACCGAGAACAGTACAGATTAACACAAAAGCTTACCTGCAGCACTGGCTCCCCTTGTGCGATTAACCACCGTGGCAGGGACTCGGCACTACCATATCACAGAAAATGTTTTACCTGGGAACCTCTGTGACCCAAACCAGTACCTGTGCACAACTTCCTGTCTGATACATTTCTCTTTCAAAAAAACACTTATTTTTCCAGAAGTAATTCCCCTTTATCCCCATTTTACAGACAACAACAATTATCTGATAATACAGAGATTAAGACTATTTTCTGTTTGTTTGTTTTAAAATGTTTTTATAATGTTTTCAAGATTGCCTGCCTCTTCAGGTACTTACAAGAGCTGGACTCTTTCTGTTAGATACCTAGCCAAGTTTATTCATTATATTTAAGAAACATTTAAGTAACAATACGCAAAAGAATCTTACCATGCTCAAATAATCTATTCCACCTTCTTCTATAGTAACATTTAGTTTCTGATCAACAAACTCACGTTGCCCACACCAGAAACTTAATGGTGGTTTAACAAGACGGCCACTACGAGTGTAAACTCTGTTTGAGTCATTCAATATGGAATTGCGCTTTGGTGTTGTATCTACAAGAAAAAACAAGAAATACAGTTTTGTCCCAAATATTGTATTGGAACATTCAGCTTCGCAGACTTCACAAGCATAGGAGCAATCTTGCGTTTAAACTGGCTCATTTGCACTGACTAAATGGAAAATAGAAAACTTACTACAGTGTTATGCTGCTCTTTTAAAAGTGCTCAGGTTAGAAATAAGTATACCCTAACATGACTGAAGTAATAATCTTCACAAATTATAAAGTTTACTGTTGTGAACTTTTTATTTTTACTTTATTTATAAGGTTATAAATACTGTAAAAGTCATATAGGGAAGTAGAATGATAAAGAAAAGTTGGCACACTGAACAAACCCTAACTGTAATGAGAGAAAAAAAATAAAACAGCTTTTATAGTGTTAGCAAGAAAATCTGATTACAGTATTAACAAACAGTACGATGAAGTTTGGCCAAAGCCCTGTTGGAACCTATGACAAGATATTAAAAGGAAGTCAAAGTTAAAACCAAAAGCTATTGGTGTCCATAACAAAGCTAGGATTGCATTACAAGGCAAAGAAAAAACAGGTGGATCAATAGGTTATGGCTTTACAACCATTTCTTTTAGAAACAAAGCCAACATAATGAATTTTTCCACAATCCATTCCATCCATCCCCAATTGTTACCATTCTCTGTGCCTCAACTGTGGCAAAAACGTAAAGATGCCATAAAATAAACCTGCTCAAGGACTTGACATGAGTTAAAACTAACCCAGCTAAAAAAGGGGGTGGGCACTGCAGGGGAGGAGTCCCAAGGATAGAGCCTTGATAGAGGTATTAAATCCCACAGGCATCCCAGGAGGGCTAAGAGAGTATGTTATGCAAAATAGCAACTGAAAAAAAATTAAGTCAAGTTTGCTGTCAGAATAAACAGCTCTGGAGTCGCTGCCTTCAGCTACCACAGACCAAAAGAGACTCCTGCTTCTTTCCCAGGGTTAGCCCTCCGGACAGCCCCTAACCACTTGTCGTAGCTGCAGTACATCAGCAACCAGAAACAAAGAAACAAGTCAATGCTCTTCATACAGCCTAATTAACAAGATACAAAACGGACAGATGTTAGGTATCTTTCGCCAGGGAAAACAGCTCTCAAAAATACCCCAACTTTTTTCAAAGGAAAAGGATTATTAAATACTCACAAGCGTTTTCATCATTCTTCGGTGATACTTCATAGGTGGTGTTTCTGGTTTCAGGTTTCTTTACATCTCTTGCCGAGTCTTCTGCATTTTTCAACGCATCCGTACCCACCACTGAGTCACTCTCTTCATTTTCATCCTCACAAGCATTTTGTTTTTGTTCTTTCCTAACGTTTTGGAGTTTAAGAAAAGAAATAATAAACATCTGAAAAAGTTGTCCTTTAACAACACATTAACTTACGTAAACTGGAAGTCTTCTCCTCATCTCGAGCAGAAGCCCCATAGCATAGTGCAGCTCTACTCATACAGAGACTGCGAGCCACTGCACGGGTGAAGCCCTTTGCTGGTGTTTACTCTAAGGCTACGTAAACCAGTGGAACAAAACCAAGCCAGCGTAATGAAGAAAGGTGAAAGAGTATCCTTCCAAAGCAGTGACCCGTATCTGCCTGGAACATAGTCTTCATGCACGCACCTACAATCTTTTATACTCCTCTAGTATTCTTAAAAAGCAAAATCTCAGTAAATGCTTAAAAGGACATTGCAATGTGTCGTGGTTTAACTGGGCAGGCAGCTAACCACCACACAGCCGTTCGCTCACTCCCCCCAGTGGGATGGGGGAGAGAATTGGGGGGAAAAAAAGTAAAATTCGTGGGTTGAGATAAAGACAGCTTAATAGGACAGAAAAGGAAGGGAAAATAATAATAATAACAACAACAATAATAATAATAGAATACACAAAGCAAGTGATGCACAGTGCCATTGCTCACCACCCGCCGACCGATGCCCAGCCAGTCCCCGAGCAGCGGCCCCCCCGGCCAGCTTTCCCCAGTTTATGTACTGAGCATGACGTCCCATGGTATGGAATGTCCCTCTGGCCAGTTGGGGTCAGCTGTCCTGGCTGTGCCCCCTCCCAGCTTCTTGTGCACCTCCAGCCTGCTCAGTCGGTAGAGCACAGGGAGCTGAAAAGCCCTTGACTAGTGTAAGCACTGCTCAGCAACGACTAAAACATTGGTGTGTTATCAACATTGTTCTCATCCTAAATCCAAAACACAGCACTGTACCAGCTACGAGGAAGAAAATCAACTCTATCCCAGCCGAAACCAGGACACAATGAAACAGAATCTCCAAAGAAATTACCTTCTTCTTTCCTCAAGAAACTCCTCAACATATTCCTTCCACTTTTTGGAAAACCCGTATGTAAATCTTTTGATGAAACGGTAGGGAAATCCTGTTTGAAACAAAAGTAGCATTAACAACAGCCGAGCAATACTTTCAATCAGAAATGCTAGAAATAATATCCAGCACAATCATGGTTTTGTAAGTACCTCAGAGGCTCACTACATCTTTGAACACTAGAGAGAGACAGGTTTCCCCAGTTTAAGAGAACAGCATACTTCATAGAAAAGTCAACCAAGGGGTCATTAATTACAGGCGTCAGTGTCTGGAGACAGCATTCTAGTTTCCTGGGAACCAGGAGCATAAGCTTTCCCCTTTCATCTAGCTGGACTGGCACGTGGCTTCTCTGCAGAGTGCCAGAAGTCCCTCAGAGAGCCTGAGGTTTTTGGGCTCTGGTTAGGTCTAAGCTGTTTGGGACTTACTGTATCAAGGAAACTCCACTTGGAAGAGAACTTTGTTTTGCTTTGATACAGAAGCTGTTCAATCAAGAGCACACAGACTGTTCATGAGGCTTAGACAAAGAACAACTGCATCAGGATCAGGTGCAGCCAAAATATCTAGCAACAACATTATGAACCTGGGAAGTTCTCCAGGTAGTACAGATACAACAGAATGACTCTAGTTTTGTCCCTGAAATTGGAAAACAACCCTAAAAACAAACATTGATGCAAAGGTATAATGTAATCCTTTGTTGCAACAGAGAAGGGAGAAAGCATCACTTGCACTCCAGCCTTTCTGAGCAGAACATTGGCCGTTTAACACTCCGGTGGATACTAGGCTATCACGTAGCCTTCTCGCTGAGCGGCTATAATCTGTACAGATGCAGGAGCACAACAACATTGAGCCACCGCTTGCCTGCTCACAATGTCTGAAAAACCAGCAGCGTTCAGCCTCTGAGACCACTGGAGTCATGGACTACGACAAGAAGGGTCTGCAACATGTGATTAGAAAACAAGCTTAAGTAGTAGCCTATTTATCTGAAATTCTGGGAAGCAGTATCTTTACTGGAAAGCATTCAACAGGCACATGAATCAAAAAAAAAAAAAGAAATCACATCCACAAACTGTTAATCTTAGGAGCTGAAAGGCCATTACTGTCAGCCTGCACCAACAGAGAGTTCCAGTAACTGAGCTCCTCCAGGAGGATGGGAAGTGAGAAAGGCACTCCCTTCATTAGTTTATTCAGTGTACAACCAAAGGTCCATCTAGCCCCAACCAGGGAAAGGATACTAACAGCAGAGGCCAAAGTAGAGTACAGAAGCAAGGCACGTATACAGAAATATTCCCTCCAAGCAATCTCCCAACCTCCAACTGAGAAATCAACACTGATTTCTAGGTATTTAAAAACCCTAAAGGAATTTGTCTTCCAGGACATTGCTCAGTCTCCGATGGAACTAATGTAAAACTTCAGCATCTACAAGATCGTGTGCAAGGATTTCCACAAATGAGATGCACGTAGCATGAAAAACTTTTTATTTCCCCTCTACTGTTTGTTTTTTTTTTTTTTATTTCCCTTATTCTGTTATGGCAAGAGACTGCACACAACTGATCTTTATTTACCATCTCCATTCCCTTTGTTATTTCATTAACCTCTCCCACACCTCCTCCCTGGTTTCCTGTTTTGCAGGCCAAAAAGTCTTAGCTTAGTTTGTCCTTTGCCCTGTGAAAGCCTTTTCACAACTTTAAACATGTCATTCTTCTCCACACATTTCCTACTACTTCTTCTGCATTCTTTCTGAGAGTAGGATGTTGGGGCTTCTGTGGGGAGGGGGAAGGAAAGACATGGAGTTGTACTCAGTCTTCAAGCTGTTCACATATCATAAAGGTTTTACAGCCGACAGCAGTCTTTTTGTTCCGTTCATTTTCAATGTTCAAGTTTAACTGCTACTAGCGAGCATTAAGCTGACCTCTTAATAGAGCCATCTGTCAAAACCCCCAACCCCCCCCAGCCGATAGCAGTCTTTTTGTTCCGTTCATTTTCAATGTTCAAGTTGTTTAACTGCTAGCAAGCATTAAGCTGACCTCTTAATAGAGCCATCTGTCAAAACCCCCAAACCTTGCTCCTCAGTTTTTACAGTGAACTGAGTCTTACAATCATGTATCATCATATACTACCATATGGGGGTTGGACTAGAAAACCTTTAAAGGTCCCTCCCAAACCAAACTGTGAAACCATTCTGTGATATCTGTAACAATATGCTTTCCTCTACCACCACTTGCATCATTTTACATCTATCAAGACCAAATTTCATCATTTCGATGCCCATTCTGAAGCTCCTAAGACATGCTTTCTGGCCAGCACTCACCCTTACCATCCTGATGCAACTTAGCAACATCAGACTACAGCTGCTGCTTCCCAGCTCATGTTCTTTTCTACAAAGTTTATGAATCTGCTCAACAGCCCACATCGTTATGGGATTCCTTTTATTCCTCTCATTTTCTACTGTTATTTAAACCCACAGAAGCTCCTCCTCCTTATCACATAACTACTTTGCGTCCTTACAATCTTCCCAAGAGCCTTTCTAGAAGCCCAAAGTCTAGGGGCCCCATCAAAGAAGTCCCACTCATTATTACAGTCTCTATTGGTTTACCTCATATGAATGCCAAATTCCACATTCCTTCATTTCAAGGGCCTTGGGAAACAACTTTCTTAAAAAGCTTTGCATCAGCCACCTTTCTGGTCCACAGGTATCAAAGCAGGTTTTTTGCAAGATGTTACACGCTAGTTATTTCATCCTTCAGCTCCTTTAAAATGCTTTAGGAGTAGCATTTCATTATAGCACATAGGTTCATTCTTTATATGGACTGGATAAAATACTTCCTGATCACCAGGAAGGGCTCTAGCCAAAGCACAGCAAGTGCCACTGCACAGATGCAGGCTGGAATGCAGTGAGCACCACAGGGGGTTGTGTGCAACATTCCCGCTGTGGGGCTGTTGGGAGATCAACCACAGAAAACACCCTTCCAGGAACAGAGCCTGTGCAACTAAATAGCCTGTACTGTCCTCTGCACAGTTCCATCAACAGTGACCCGTGGATAGGTTTGGTAGCACACCTGGAGTACCAGGTTGCTAATAACCACTTCTGATAAGGGGCAGAAGTAGGTAAGTGCTAGCCAGTGCTCTTACTGAAACACAATTCATTAATAATCTCAGTGCTTTGAAGAGTCACTTGGAGTATCAGTACACACCGGTCAAATATTTTCCACAGGCAAGTAGTTCTGTACTGGTGCAGCGTTGTTCACAAACTGATGGTGCCACTGCTGACAGTCCCAGCGCTCCTGGCTGCCAGCAGCCCTGGTTTAGGGAAATCCTCAGGTTAGACTTTAGATGTGGCATTTCTTCTCCTCTCTACCTACATTAGCTTGTCTTTAACTTCCCTTTTGATCCATATATCAGTTTTGAATCTGTTCAGGATATTTCCAGGGTATTTTCCACACCAACCCTATGACAGTTTTTTTGCATATTGGGGGGTGTTGGGAGGTGAGGGGGAAGCTGAGAAGGAAGCGCGTTTTGCTGTAAGTGCTAAGTCCGAAGATCAGAGGAGTTGACCCAGCATAGTTCATTAACTCTTAGGCTTAGGAAACCTCTGTAGTACTTGAGCCACTCTGTTCAGAAGTCCCTTGCTGTCACTTTTCCTTCTCAGAATAGTAAAATAAAAACAAATGTAAGTATTTAGCAAAGGAACTAATAAAAAAATTCAAGTCAGAGAGCAGCTAAGTCAGGTATTTATCAGAATGCATCCCAGTACTGCAAATGAGAAGAAAAAAAATTAAAGCCACAGACATTTTTGGATGCCTTGTGCTGGGCCTGAAAAACCAGAGTGCATATATGCTCCTTTAGAAAGAGAGCGATCATGCGCACAAGGCACGTCTGTATTAAGGCAAGCAGGTATTCCATCTATGCCACAAATGATCTTTATGTTCCTAGAGCTGCCTGTAAGCACTAACATGGCAGCTCATTTACTAGTGAACATGACAGAGAATGCACATGAAGCAGAAAAATAGAATAAAGCCTCACCTAACTTTAACTTTGTGTGTAAATTAAATTTCCTTTAAAATTCCACATGCTTCAAAACAATCTGAAGCAGGAAGTTTTGCTGGATTTGGTATAACATACCACTTAGACCCTAAAGATGGATCAGTTTACTAAATTATAAAGCACTGACAGCATAACTAGTCTGTCTCCAAACAGAAATTCTATGTAGCATTGCAGAGCTAGTCGTTAATTACTGAATAGTAAGTCATAGATAGAACGCAAACACCAGAGTAATTTCAGTAGTGTATTAATCACTGGCCAATCCAGCTCAATCCCTATTTGAATATCTTAACACTATTTAAATGCCAAAACATGGACCAAAATTACAAAAAGGAAACCTTAACAAAAACCAGTTTCTTTAAAAGAACATACCCATTAGTCAACTTCATGCTCCGAAAGCCCTCTCTGCGAGTGCAGCACCCTAGAAGTGCCAGCTACAAGTAACATGAGATAGTATTTAGAAATCTGATGCTGGAGTCGCTTTCCAGCTGAATACCCACCGAGCCCAACTAGCAGGATAAGACAAAACGTTTGCTTCAGCAGTATGTTCAATCATAAATCTAAAGCCCTTCTCAGTTTGTAACGTTACATTAAGAATCATCTTCTTACCTTCTTTTCTCATCGAAGCTGAATCTATATTTCCCTGTAGCAAGTAGATACTGCCGGATGATGTTTTAACTTGGTTGTGTGCTATGCGTTCCATAATTGCATTACTATGCCAAGAAAGATCTTTCATATCTCTAAGAAAAGACAGATAACACGAAGAACAGAAATAAAACATTGTTTTCATAAAAGAAGGAATTTAAGACTACAATATTGATATCCCATATGAGATGGGCAGTGTTACATATTTTAAGAGCGATATAGACACTGGCAGGATGTGCTAGGTTTTCTTTTCTTAGCTCGGAAGAGAAACAGTTCTGGCCTTGTCTAATACTTGGACGGGAGACAAAATGAACATGTCAACTACTGCAAACGTTAGTCACAGAACATTAGCTTGACATTAGGCTGCAGAAGCAAAATGGACTAAAGGACTCCATCCAGCTCATTACTGCAGTGATACCATTATGCAAGTTACAAAACTACCATTATACAGATCAAATGTATATTTTCCCCAGGATTATTATATTTATTTCTGACCTTCCTATTTAAAGACAAGAACAACTGAAGAAGGAGCCCTAATATGTGCAAAAATTGGAGTTGTTAAGAAATTATTAAGGGACTTCTCCGTGAGAAATAAAAAAACAGAACCAAGCATTAAAGTAGAAAATCTACAGAGTGTTGGGGGGTTTTGTTTTTTGGGGTTTTTGGGGTTTTTTTTATATACTTTTACAACGGTTTTTTGGGGGTTTTTTTGGGTTTTTTTTAATATACTTTTACAACAGTATCAACAGACCAAACTACAGAACAGTATTACAGACTGAAACCGAAGACGACAGTGAAAACATTCAGCTGTATAACATCACAAAACATTAACAGAAGTCAATTCAAAGGGTCTATAAAGCAAATCAAATATATCATGTCTAAGCAACATGTAGCAGATACACACCAACACAAACGAAAAGAAAACATGTTGCTAGTAGTGAAGGGTGCAAAGTGAGAGGATCAGTTGTTTCCATACAGCCATGAAACAAACGTCAATTCCTACTACAAATCCTACCACAGAGTATGTAGCCTCCTGACATCCATAAGCATACTGAATTACTTCCTTGCACAGTGCTACTGCTGTTGAGCAAGGTTCTGAGTTTTCAGTAGATAGATAAGTAACTGTGTTAGGTAGTTACTAACTACAGAAAGAGTAGAATACTCTTTTCCAAGGGTATATTTTCACAATGTCTTCAAACAACTATTGCAAGCTAAATCTCTCCTTTGTTCTGGTATTTCTTTTCCTGATCTTATAGCTACTTGAATACAATCTGACCAACAACATAACCAAAAAAACCTGCAGTCAGTTTTCAGGTGGATCAGCTGCTGCTGTGGTCACCATATAGCTGTAGGCATAATAGGGCCATCACAAATGGTATGGCAGGAACGTATGGCCAATGGCAGTCTGCACCAAGTTTGACTTAAGCAGCCACAAAACAGAATTTTTGTGAAATGAAGTAGAAGCTCATAAGACCCCTAGTCAGCATCAGTTTGAGGGATCTACTAGACAAACACATTTGTCTTTATTCCTCTTAAGCTCTTTGATCGACTCAGGACTGGACTTTGAAATAATTATTTAACCAGTAGTTTCCTGTATGTAGCACTCTACCTCTTGCACACATTAAGGAATTCACCTCTTCCTTGATAAAGAAATTTAAACTATAACATCACTTTGTATTTGCCAAAGGCTAAGAGTAAGTTCCATGAAGGTGCTCCCATGGCCACCTAAGCCAGGACAACCATGGTTCCTTCTCCCCCCCAGTTCGTCAGCCTCCAGCTGTGCAGTCCCTCATCCCCTCATGCACCAGCTCTGCCATTCTGCAGGCTCTGAAGCAAATGGGTTCAGTGTGCTTAGTCAGAAGATAGATAACTATGTTAAAAAAAAAAAAGGTAAGAGTTGTAAGCACTGTCATAAGGGTTCGGATGCAAGCGAAGGGCCATGTTCCTGTGGCTGGGGAGGAAGGCAGCGGAAGTGTGTGGAACTGCTTCCAACCACGACACCAAGATACTCCAAGAATGCAAGTCTCAAAGCTACAGCTATTCAGCCAGGCGAAGATGGTATATAGCCTTTCTAGCTCAGATGCTGAAAGCCCACCAACCTGTTTTACATTGCACTTAAATCAGAAAACTTTTTCTTACTTCCGTTTTCCTTCAACACATATTGCAGTGTTACCATCCATCACTTTAATTCTCCAACTGGTTAGGCAGACATTTTTCTGTTAAAACAAAAAAGAAAGTCATTTTTAAATTAGACTAAGCTACGCAACATCACCACGGCATTAGCAAAATAGAAATTAACTCCTGTATACCTTGAGAATATTTAGGTACTATCCTCCAGACCAGAAAAACTGAAAACAACCATTATACACATAAATGTTGAAGCATAATCAAGCTGGAGTCTAATGCACAAGTGAAGACAGGAATTTAAATTATAGAAGACAAAGTCGTTGGCCAAGACCTCTAACAATTTCAAAAAGCTCCTCACAAAAACACCAACACTATGCCATACCTCTTACACTTTGCCATCTGTCCTCCATTACTGCTCAGAAAGAAAGTTATCCATGAAAAATAAAATTGTATTTATTAGCTCTGTTATTGCAAAAATTTAGACAGTATTAAAATGGCTATACCTGATATTGTGAACTACTGACACACATACAGCTGCAGTACCTTCATTTTGCATTACATAGCCAGCAAGCCAGTTGCACTTGAGTTGCAGTTTGGAACACTGTGTGTGAAACATACGACTTCATTTTAAAAAAAGCTTCTCGGAAAACGATTTTTTAACATCTGAAACTATCACTATTTCTCCTCATAACTTCAGTTAACAAACTCCAGATCCTTTCTTGAATAATGACCGCCTTTTGACCATCAGCCTTGACTTCACTAAAGATCTTGCCAACAATTTAACCCTGCCTGAGGAAAGGTACCTACTCGATGCTCAGATCTGTAGTGTCCAATAACATCTCTGTGAGCATCTCCTACTCAGCTACAAGTCTTTAATATTAATGGATACCTGTTCCTTATCAAAATCAAAGCTCATCATAAAGGTAACTTTTTTTTTTAATACAGGAAAACATATCAAACATGCTTGACAATGGTGAGGGAGAGCGAAACAATTAACTTGCTTAACTTGAAGAGGACTCCGATCCCACAGATTCCTCCAGAGAACAAAGGAAACTCAACCCTTGGGAAGGTGTGCTTCCACCAGTTTCCTAGGCTAATCACTGAGGAATGCAGCATGCTTCAAAATACACTGCTTTCCTCGAGATTTATTCAGAAAGTTGTAAATACCGCCAAGCGTGTATTGAATTGAAAATAAGATCTGCAGCCCAGTCTCCTAGGAAAAGATTCTTGTCCCACTTAATTCAACAGGAGTTTGGATATTCTGTAGGAAAGCCAAGACTTTTACCTCACTATCAGCTGTACTGATTCAGTGAACTTTAGAACCATCCCTAGACTACAGCTAGGAAAGATCTCTCCTCCTTGGCTTTGAGCTGGATTGGCCAGTGATTTGTTTCATGTTCATCATACCAACACACAGCAATTAATGTAGTAAAGAGATGACATAGGACGCTCCTTCAGGTAGAGAACTCTTTCAGCCCATACTGTGGCTTGTGAATACTAAACCAAAAGGCCTTCTTTTATTAAAAAAAACCACAAACAAAAAAAAAACAACCAACAAAAAAAAACCCTGAACACTGTCATCTTGGAGTACGGAGAAAAAAGAAATCCTTTTGACAGGAAAGCGCTTACCAGTACAATCCAATAAAACAATAGTTTATTCTCTTCTGAGTGCTCATTACTTTTGACAAGAAAAAGAATAAATAAATTGCAACTATGAGCTACAAGCAGCACAGGAATGTATCAGTTACCCTAAAGTATTAAGTTCTCCCACCTCTTTGTCTGCTTTGCCAGCAACTTGATCTGTGCGAGGTTTATCCGAAGGGACCTTACAGCCTTCTTTCGGCTTTTGCTTCCTTGGAATGTGGACTTTGGGCGAAGAGAGCATAATACTACATAAGCACTGTGAGGGCTTTTGAGAATTAGCCTCCAGCATCTTTTCTACTCCATGAGCAGCTTGCTCATTACTTGGCTCCAATTCTCTTCTGTCTTGATGAAGTTCAGTACGTTTTGCTTCTCCATTTCCCCACCTTTCTTCTAGCTGATCCCCATTTTTAAAAGGGGCAGAGTTTAAATTCACAGAACTAGTCACTGTATTTTGAGACATTTCATCATCAGCATCCATTGATTCCATAAGGAAATTATCCTGATCATCCTTATCAGTGGCCACATACTCTGTAGGATCATTCCTGAGCTGCTCAGCAAAAGCAGACTTGACTAACGGCTTTTCTGTAGTTGTGGAAGGAGGAATCTGCCTGATTGGGTTTGAAGGTGTTGGATCTGCCCATTAAAAAAAAAAAAGGAATAAAAAAGAAATTAGTGATATTTGAGAACTAATAAAAATACATTCATAAAGTTAGCTTCATTTTTAATGGAGCTAGGTTGTTTCCTAGGTTGTCTTGATTAGCATTACAACTGTGAAAGCACTGCCTATTTCAATTGTTAACATTAACAGCAAGCCACCCTTTGAATTTGTTCGGACTAGCTTTTCCTCACCACCAGATCAATACCTCTGCAGTTAAAGACTTATAGATATCCCACTTTCCCCCAAAACCAAGCTAATGCACACCATATCTATTAATGGTATTATCTTTACCATTCTTCCTATCCTTTCTTTAATGAATCCTCCTTGCAGAGCAAAAAAAAAAAAAAAAAATCCGTTTTCACAAAACCCAACATCTCAAACATTTCCATCTTTCCAGACGTCAAGATCTGGACTGCTAGCCATGCTGCTGCTATGCTGGGAGCTACAAGCATTGGGGTTTGAGTTTTCAGATAAATTAAGTTCAGTTTTGAACAGTGAACGCTACTAAGACTTTGGCATGCATCATTTTCTTCATCTTCAAAACTGAATTACAGAACAGAAGCATATACAGGGTTGCTATCAAGTAACAATATGGAAAAAAAAATACAAGAGGATTTCTTTCAGAACAAAACCTTTTCTCTTCATGCATTAAAAGCTAAGGGAAAAAAAAAAGAGCCAGCAAATAAGAGGTTCAGGATTTTTCCACCAGGTTTCACATTCACATGGCAAAGTGTTACACCTAGTCTCTAAAGAACTCTTAACCACATCAGGAGCCTGAAGGTAGATGGCCTGTGTTGTCAGTGCACTCAAACGGACTAATGATGCCAAGCTTCAAGATCAGAAGTCCACAGCCCTAAGCCATAGTTAAACCAAGTTTAATGCCATCTCCAGGTTTGAAAAGGCAGATTTGCAGGTTTCTTCCTCTATTTTCCACTGCGTGCAGACTACAAAGAAAGAAGAATGATACTCTGCCAAAGCACGCGAGAGATTATAAGCAAGAACAGAAACCCTGAAGTCAAGGAAGTTTTTGAAGTGTTTTTAAGAGCAATACCAAGTACCTTTTCGCTGCTGCTGCAATTTCTGCTTTACACGCAAGAAGAACTTCTGAGGGGATTCCAATACCAGAGGGTCTATGGCTAGTGCTTTTGTGGTTCGGTTCTCAGGAATCCGAGTGCAAAATAATTCTGGAAAATAATAATAAAAAAAAAATTTGGGGAAGAAAAACATTTTCATGTGGGGGGCAGGGGAAGCGAAGTACATACTTCGTAAGATACTAGAACTCCACTATACAGCAATATGTTTTCTTTACTTTCCCAAGATGGATGGGCAATATAACCTTTCCCTTTTCACCAGAGAAAAACTAGCTGTTACATTGCCTCAGCTGCATGTGAGAAATGCCCTGAGGTGTGTGTATGCACGTCTGGACGTAACCCAACCCACAGGAATCAACAGGAGTTTGGAGGTGCATACAAATGGGGTGCGTTTCATAGTATTAAGGTCTAACAAGCAGCACCAATACTAACCCCTTTTGATATTCGATCAAAAGTCATTATCAATTTGTGATATGATGATGCAAGGGCAAAAATACACCTTTTAGAAATCCGCTGTTAAAAAGGGAACAAAACTTTAGGAGCTTTCACTTTTTATAAAAATCACAGAATGATTTGGGTTGGATGGGACCTCTCAAGGCCATCTAGTCCAACCCCCCT